CTTTTTACGTCGTCTTCTACCTTTATTTTTTATTGTGATTTGCTCATGTGTTTAAGTTCTTTTTTTTTTTTGCTTTTTAAAATTTATCAAATTGAAAGAACTTCCAATATGCAAATTTTGATTACGTATTTTATGAATATTTTATAACGGTATTTTCTTTGTAATAAGATTTAATAAGATTTATACTTTAACTAAACGTAGTTTTTTTTTTAACATAAAATTCTTTGCGATACTTTTAAACAACTTTATTCACTTTAATATTTATGAAGTTTTGATAAGTCAGCGCAAAAAAAAAAAGGTAGTTCGAGGCAAAATGGTTTTTGACTAAAATGGTAAACACACTGTTCACTTTTTACTATTTGAAAATTTTTCTTTCACATAATAAGCTACCTTACTTATCTTAATGACAAGCTCGATTAATCAATTAAAAATATTTTCTGTTAATTAAAATTAATCCCGACACTTTTTCGACATACTTTGACCCATTAATTGAGACGCTTGAGTCTGTCAGTTTCGGGATTATCTTTATTAAGTGTTGTTACATTATCAAGAGTAGATTATTTAGGGAGTATGAGTTTATGTGCTTATTATAGAACAGCACAAATTCCTAATTTAGATTATTCTAACTATACTAAGAAACGCCTCTGATTTGCATCTGCTAATCAGAGACCACCATAAGGTATAATATTAGCACAAATAAAGTGATGCAGGTTTTTTTGGGTAGGATTTACCACGTTTTGATTAGTATAAAATTACGTTCGTACGTTTGTGCATTTTGTAAAGAGCTTTGATGAGAAGAAATATAAAATATTATAAAAATGGGTAAAAAAATATAAATATGTGTATTTTAATGAAACCCAAGAAATTCTTATTAATATATACATTTTGTATACATATATAATATTAGATTTTCTACTGCAAAATAAAAGTGAAGTTTTTTCATTAGAAAACCACGGATTAACTTGTGAATATGAAGAATCACTTACCAAGTTAAATAAATTGTTGGAAGTTGAGCCAAATAACGCAATAACATTAAAAATTCGTGGATTAATTTATCTCCTGATGGACAAATACAAGGAATCTATTGCAGACTTAAATAAATCGTTAGAGATTAAACCAAATAATATGAATACATTAAACTATCGAGGTGTAGCCTATTGTATGATAAAAGAGTTTAAAGAATCGCTCGCAGACTTAAGTAAATCACTAGGTATCGATCCAGATAATGCATTTACATTAAGATGTCGTGGAACAACTTATTATGAGTTGGATATGTATGAAAAATCACTTGAAGATTTAAACAAATCGTTAAACATTGAACCAAATAATGCAAATACCTTAAATTGTCGCGGGGCAACTTATCGTATGCTAAGTCTATATGAAGAATCACTTGTAGATTTAAATAAGTCATTAAAAATTGATCCTAACAATGCATTAACATTAAGGAATCGAGGATTAACTTATTACGCTACAGAAAAGTTTAAAGAATCCCTTGAAGATTTTACAAAATCTTTAGAAATTGAACCGAATAATACATTTGTATTACGAAGTAGGGGAAAAACTTATTACAAAATGGGTAGACATGAAGATGCACTCATAGATTTAAATGAGTCATTAGAAATCGAATCACATAATGCATATGTAATGACAAGTGAAAAAATCTATCAAATGATTGGCAGATATGAAAGAATCCTTTCAAATTTTACTAAATCATTGAAACTTAAACCAAATGATGCATTCGAATTAAAAAACCGAGGTGCTACATGTCGAGTATTGGGTAGATATGAAGAATGGCTTATAGAAAAACAATTAGAAATCGGAGCAAATAATAAATTGGTATCAAATAATCAAGCTGAAATTTATCTCAAAAAGGACAGATATGAAGATGCACTTACAGATTTAAATAAATCATTGGAAATTGAACCTAATAATGCTGATACTTTGAGAATCCGCGGAGACACATATTACATTATGGAAAGATTCAATGATGCACTTAAAGACCTAAATATATCATTAGAAATTGAACCAAAAAATGCATCCGCATTGAGACTTAGAGGTGCAACTTATCGAATGTTAAAAAAAAATGAAGAATCACTTAAAGATCTAAATAAATCATTAGAAATTAATCCAAGCAATGCGTTGACTTTGAGACAACGTGGAAGTACATATAGAATAATGGAAAAATATGAAGAATCGCTTGAAGATTTTAATCGATCATTAGAAATTGAGCCAGATTATACAGGTTCATTGAGTGAACGTGGTGACACTTATCGTTTGATGAATAGATTTGATAAATCACTTCAAGATTTAAATAAATCATTGAAGATTGAACCAAATGATGCGTGGACATTAGGATGTCGTGGAGCAACCTATTACTGCATTGGAAACTACGAAGTAGGACTTGTGGATTTAAATAAATCATTAGAAATTGATCCGAATGATTCATTTTCATTAAGTTACCGTGGAGAAACTTATCGCAAGTTGAATAAATATGAAGAATCGCTCGTAGATTTTAACAAATCATTAAAAATTGAACCAAATGATGCATGGACATTAAGGAAACGAGGAGAAATTTATCTTAAGAAAGGATTTGAAGAAGAATCATATATAGATTTTAAAAAATCTATAGAAGTAGAGTTATAGTACTAAATGTCTGTGAACGGAATAAGTATAGTATAAATGCCTTATTAAATTTTTTTTTTTTTTTGAAATGATTCATTTGTCTTATCAAGGAGATAATACAGATAAATTTGATGAAATGTATTTTTAAACCAAGAATTTATTTTTTCTAATTGTTAATAATCAATTCATTTGCAACTAGCTTTATTATTCTATGGTTGGTATGTCGGTATAGGAGAATATAAGTAGCTTATGGAAATTAGTTATTATACTTAATTAAATTATGGGACTGATATCCTGATTTAAGATTTAAACGAAGATATTTTGATCAAATTTGAAAAAATTTTTACTTATATTCTATGGATTTGTAGAAATTAAATAAATATAAGAATGCTATAGTCAAAATTTATTATAGATCGGTAAAATTATACTGATTAGAATACGATTTGAAAGTGATGTATAACATATATGATTGAAAACTTAAAGTACTGATTTGTTATACGCTAATTTTCATACTCTTCCCAATGAATGTTATAGCGTGATCTTCATCTTCGCGATAAGTACATTTTTTGATTGAATCAACAGTGATTTGACAACCTGCGTTCCATCATTTTCAAGTAGTAAGTACACTTGCCTTGATGTTGAACATATATTTAGGGTCAGGAAATTCGTGGCTGATCTCTTAATGTCTATTGAGAGAAACTTAATGTTGGAATAAAATGCAAACAATTAGCTTAGTAATTTTTTTCAAATCACATTATTAATCAGAATCGGTCAGTAACAAAACGGAAGTTATGCTTAATCTTTAGATTCTTCAAAGTTCTAGTCGGGCGAATAGTAGGACAAATCATCCTCTAAAAAAAAAAAAAAAATTGTGTTGTTATGTTTTGTGTTCTCGGTACTTTGTTTTTGACTCTTGTTAGTTGTGCCAATATCATCAAAAATAATTTTCTTCCAAAGAAAAGTTTTTTTAACCAGTTTTAACGTGAGTATTTTGAGCTTGGATGATATTCATTATTTCTAGTACAAGATTCGCTTTCACGATTGAATAATTATTTCGCAGTTCTGATTATTTTCAGAAATCTCACTATCTATAAAGCGACTATCTTAAGAAACAACCATATCAAGAAACATAGTACTCAGGAATCACGTTTAAAAAATAGATAAGATGAAATGTCACCAATACATAATTTTATCGTGATGAATAAAGGTCACGTCTTGTCCAAAAAATTTGAAGAGCTTAATTACAATAGAAGCTTTGAGTCTATAGTTGTTAGACGAAACCATTTTTGCTTGATGACGAAAGTCGAAACTTGAGCCCTAAATGACAAAATCTCTGTCAAAAGTCTAAACCTCAAATTCCTCTGACAAAAGTCGAAACCCTCAAATCCTTCTAACGAAAGTCGAAACCTCAAACTTAACTTAACAAAACCCTAGTACTCCTGCTAAAAAAAAAAAAAACAAAAAAAAAAGTAAAATTACTAAAAAAAAATGTTATTACCGAAACTCAATTAATTACCGGAATAGCAAAGTCCTGTAACGGAATTTTTTATAGTAGCTCATGACAGAAATAATGATAATCACAATATAAACTAATTCAACCTTAACCGCATACTTAATGTCAGTAAAATAATGAAATGTTTTAACAATAACCAACAGAAATCATGGTAATTCTAACAAAAATTTTTTACAATTACTCACAATAGAAATCATAATAATTTCAATGCAAACTAACAATTTTATCAACATACTGTGGCCACTGGAATAGCCAGTAAGCTCTGTTATGATAGAGTCACGAAATTTTAAGACAAACCAACTCAACCTATTCAACCTTCATATAATGTGTTACTAGAATAGCAAGTAAGTTTTGTAACAATTTTTTACAATTCCAATATAAAGCTGCAGTAATTTACAATGGAAATTACGATAATCACAAAATAGAAATTGATAATTCTAACTATATTCGACCGTTTTTTAAAACGTTTAGTGAAAATTTCTCATCAAATTTGATAAAATTTTTTATTTTAATTTTACAAAACTGTAGAATTAAAATAAAAATTTTTTATTGAGTTTAATCTCAAGTCGTTGCTGAAAAATATTCACTAGAATCTTAAAAAATTTTCAAAATCTTAAAATGATCTTCAATCCACGTTACTGCAAAAGCCAAAAGTGTCTAGCAGTTTACTGGTGTCAATATTTATTTTGTGTCACATTTAATCTAATTTATAAGTGATTGTACGTCGTACGTACACTGCCTTCTCCCTTAGCACTCATACATTAAAAGTAGTATGCACATACCAATTCTCCGACGACGGTTATTCCTTTCCGTTCTTTGTGCTCTCATATTCATAAGCCTTTCGTTTATATATTTCCCGTCCATTATGTTTGAATATTTCATTTCTTGCGATAAATTAACATGGTCCTGTAGCTTTCGACAGTATTTTATTTCTATACCTTCAATTTATGGTAACGATGTTGAGCCCATAGTGATATGGACACCTTGGTTCAAAGACTCTCGGTCGTGGTGGGAAGGACTCAAGCTACATACTTTGGATGATAAAAATGAATGTGTAATCACTCATTATAGAATTGCAGTTGATGAGGCAAATATTATAATATTTCATTCTTCGGACTTGTATATGAATGATTTACCTCCCAAAAGAAATAACCAAATATGGGTTCATTATACGGCTGAGGCAATGAATGATGAATTATCTGAAAATATGTATGCTTTATTTAATTATAGGTAATAATTTAATTTTTATTGTAATTTGCCAAAAATTTATTGCTAGTATATCCTATACTACTTTGAAATACACATTGAATAAATGATCTCACTTTAAAAACCTTAAAATAGCATGAATTACCGTTTGGATTCAAATTTTCCTATTACTTATTACGAATATAATATAATAGAATCATTAAATAAAAAACCGCCTACATTTTTACCAAATATAGAACCGATAGCATGGATAGCAAGCAATTGTAATGCAAAGAATTTTCGACATCTTTATGTAAAAGAGCTTATGAAATTTATTCCAGTCGCAAGCTATGGATCGTGTTTAAACAGCAAACCGACACCACCACGTAAATTAGTTAAAAATTAATTGAAACCTTCAAAACTTTCTTTTCATTAAACTTTTATTCTTTCTATAGGAGGCCGGACGATTGAATATATAGCTCGCCATCCTTTTTATCTAGCAATCGAAAATTCCAATTGTGATTATTATGTCACTGAAAAACTTCAGGTTAAATTTTTTTTCTTTCATGATCTTTTCTCATTGATACCAAAAATTCTGGTGTATTAATAAGACGTAAATTTATCTTTGTTCATTATAGAATGCTTTGGCTGCTGGTGTTGTCCCTATTGTATCTGGGCCTAAAAACTATACCCATTTTCTTCCCACGAATCATTCTGCCATCTTACTTGACGATTTCCCACAGCCGCGTGATCTTGCTCTCCATTTACATTATCTTCTCCAAAACCCAAAAGAATATAGAAAATATATAGATTACAAATATAACTCTTCATTAATTTCGACAGAGTTTCGACGGAATTGGGATAGTCCGAATGGATGGAACTATAATATTGGACTACGTCGAATGTGTGATATGGCATGGAAGTTAAGAATGGGAAAAGGTATATCTTTTGATAATCATGAGGAAGAATGGATGAAGCCAAAAATTATACGAGCAGATCCTTCGTGTAAGGAAACTGTTGAAAAGTATAAAAATATTTAAATATTAACTTTTTATTGAACACTTTACAAAGGGAATAAATAATCGATTGTCCCTTGAAATTTTATTTTGGAATTGAGTTAAAAAATGTTTCATTGAGATAAAGACCATCCTGATAAATAAATAAACATTAATTAGGTTCCATAAAGTTACTAATTCCTAATTTTCTAATGTGTTGATTTTATCAACTTAAACTTTTTAATTGAGCTAACTGGCAATAGAGCATGTACTTTACAGAAACCTTAATTTATTATTATATAATTAAAAGAATTAATTTAAATTTAACCGGTGAATTTCACCCTATTACGTAATAATATAGATATGTATTCATTCATATAACATGTATCGTATTTAATTTTTTATATTACTAATTCGATACGTACAATTTTTTTAATGGAAGACAAAGTAACACTAACAGCTTTAGACGAAATTGTTCTCCCTGCTTTAGAAGTTGCCTATACTTCTCCTTTCGAAGCTGATTATGCTTCTTCTTTCGAAGTCGAATATATTTTCCCACTTTAGAAGTTAAAAAAACTTCATCCAATTCAGAATTTGAGGTCGGCACAGAAGTTGAGCAAACTTCATCAGGCTTGAAAGTTGAAATTACTTCTCCTAGTTTGCTTCCCATGGTTACACTTACCAATACTCGGAGGTTACTTCTTCATTTAACTATCAATACACTTGTATTGTTTGGAATGAAGGTTTGGTTGCCAGGTTTTTCGAAATGATAAGGATCTGAATAACTCTACTATAACTTGCCTATACTTGTGGCCGAAATTCCGAATTTTCGAACTTAGTATCGAACTCAATTTCGAAAAATTTAATGATGAATCAAAATTTAATCGAAATCGAAATTTTGATTGAAAATTAAAAGTTAGTTTAAATTGTCGAAATTTAAATAAGCTTTTGCGTTAGTTAAATCCTTTATTAAATAAAATTTGTCATTTTTTCAAAATAAAATTTATCATTTTTACAATATAGAAATTTGTTATCATCATTCCATAAACTGTCGAATATATATATGTACTATAATCCAATATAATTAGTTCACTGTTTAAGTAATGTAGCTAAATTGTATAAAATTCAATATAAATTGCATTTTTCATAGTAAATTGTAGAATTCAATAATAATTACGCTTTTCATAAACTCGCATTTTAAATGTTAGCAATAAATGTATTATATGAAAATGTCAATTAGATTATAGAAATATATAAATAACGCTTTTATTTGAAATAAATATATTTTAGCTTATTAAAAAATACAAGAAATATTTTCAATTATTTCGAATATTTTTTAAATTTTGATAGAAATTCGAATTCGACATAATTTCAAATTGAATTTCGGATTTTTGAATCTTAAAATACCCTGAAAAAATTTCGGCCACAAGTATCCCTTAAACCGTCCAGCGGGCAAATTTGCCCGCTAAAATTTTTTTTTTGCCGATTTTGTGAAATTGCGCCCGATTTTCTTAAACAACACCCCCCCTATTCTAGGCAAAAATAGAAGCCCATCATGTTACACATTGGCCCGTGATTTAATATCAGGTGATCAGAAGTAACGATAAAGCAAAAGTTACGTTTTTGGTAGATCTGCGGTTACTTTTTTGGTAGGTCTAATTTACCCCCTAAATTGAGGTGGCATTCTTGATGCATCATATTTCTATAAAATTTCAAGAATTCAAGCTAAGATATCTCAACGACCACCTAATTAAAATCAAATAATTTTTTTATTTTGATTCTTTAGTTTTTTTTGTAGAATCAAAATAAAAAAATTTCATCGAATTTAGTTGGTAGGTTGCTGAAATAACTTCGCTTAAAGTTTGAAAACATCTATCAAAATAACAGCTGCAGCAAACTTTTTATAAAACTTTGAGCGAAGATATCTCGGCAACCACCTATCTAAATTTGATGAATCTTTTTTTATTTTGTTTTCATATATTTGTAGAATCAAATAAAAAAAAAATTTATCAAACTTTGCTAGGTAGTTACTGAGATATTCTCGCTCAAATATCATAAATAAATAACGGCTACAGTAAAATTTTATAAATTTTTGAGTGACAATATCTCGGTAACCACCTCTTCAAATTCGTTGAATTTTTTTTTATTTTCATTCTACAGAACAGTTGAATCAAAATAAAAAAAAATTCATCAAATTTGGCTAGGTGCTTGCTAAGATATCTCACCCAAAGTTTCAAAAATACAAAAACATCTATCAAAATAGCTATGAAAAATTTTTTATAAACCTTTGAGCGAAATATCTCAGCAACCAACTATCCAAATTCATTGAATTTTACTTATACAGATATGTAGAATCAAAATAAAAAAAAATAATCAAATTTTGCTAGGTGATTACTGATATATCTTCGCTCAAAGTTTTGAAAATATAAAAACTTCTATCAAAACAACAGCCGCAACAAAATTATTATAAAACTTTGAGTAAAGATATCTTGGCAACCACCCATCTAAATTTGATAAATCTTTTTTTATTTGTTTTCATAAATTTGCATAATCAAATATAAAAAAATCCACCAAATTTGGCTAGGTGGTTGCTGAGATATTGTCGCTCAAATTCTCGAAAACATTAAAGCATCTATCAAAATAACAGCAGCGAAAAAATTTTTTGACTTTGAGCAATGCTATTTCAACAACCACCCAACTAAATTTTTTTTATTTCGTTTCTACATAGCTGAAGAATGAAAATAAAAAAAAATTTATTGAATTTAATTAGCAGACATTGAAATATCTTTGCTTAAACTTTTAAAAAAATCAAATTTTATGTAAATATGATGCATCAAGAACGCCACTTCAATTTAGGGAGTAATTTAGACCTACCAAAAAAGTAACCGCAGATCTACCAAAAACGTAACTTTTGCAACAATAAACAATCAAATCACGTGCAAGTAGTACAATGGAAACTTTAAAAAAAATGATGATCGTTATCAAACTCTAGAATAATTTTTTACAATATGTCTAACACTAGTACAAGTTTGGCATCTTCCCTTGAAAATACAGAAATAAATAGTGATGATGAGGAAGAATATATGCCACTTCTAATATCCCGCCGCAATTTTTTGAACCCAGAATCAGACAATGAGGACAAAGAAGAGGAAGAGAATACTAAAGGTGTTCATAAGAGAGGTTGCAAAAAAAAAATTGCCGCTACCACCTACAAATTTTGAGCCACTAGCTTATCAAAAGCAACAGCACCATAGGTTCGTTAATTTGCTCTCACACCATAAAGTCGGGTTTTCAAAACCGATCAATCTTTTTTCATTTTTTTTCCAACAATTTGTTGGATCAAATAGTCGTTAATACAAACTCGTATGTGTTAATTAAAGAAGCTAGTATTCTTACTGGCAGGCAATGAATGAATATTGACTATAAGGAGCTCATTGTTTGGATAGCAATTGTCATTTATCAGGGTGTTTTTAAGCTGCTCTCCCTTAATCAATATTGGAATGAAGACTTGAAGCTCCCCTTCCACCATATTTCGAAACAAATATCGGTGAAGCGTTTCAAACAAATCAAGAAATATTTGCATATCTCCTCTCCTGCAGTAGTGATCAAAAATTATTTTGAAAAAGTAGAAACACTGCTTTCACACATTCGAAATGTTTCAAAGCAGCTCTATATGCCAGATTCAAATGTCTCAGTTTACAAGATGATGGTAAGATTTTTAGGAAGAAGCGCCCACACCGTCACAATCAAGAACAAACCAACCCCAGAGAGTTACAAGGTTTTGTCGCTTTGTGAATCTGGTAATACGTATACTTTCTTGCCAACTTTATGTATTTCCCCAAGTGATGTAGCAAAAGTAGTTGGATCAATGCTGGCTAGCCAAAGATGCCGGAAATAAATTTAATTAAAGACATGAAGTTCGCAGAATACATTATGAGTAATTTTAGCTAAGTAATTTTAGCTAAGTAAATCGAACTGAAACGATAATATGCTCCCAGAAAATTAGCAAATGAGATTGTGCCAGGTATCATCGTAACAGTAGAATAAGCGGGAAGTAGAACGAGCGAGAAGCAGCATCAGCCGGTGGTTTCCCACCTGCTCGAAGCAGGCTGGCTGTTAAATAGGAAAATGGCAGAATCAGGAGACTGTTCCAATATTCGGGTATTGGGGATTCTGTCATTGTCCTATGTTGGTTTGTCACTTTGGTTTTGTTTTATGTATTTATTTATTTGTACGTTGCATTACGTGCACATTATTGAGCTCGCCATAAACATTTGGCTGTCGTGTCTGGGTTATTGACTTTTTTTTTTTTTTTTTGGTGTGTTGTGGTTAATATCTGACGCAGTTGGTTATTCAAGGTGTTGCGATTGTGGGTGTCGAACGTAGTTATGTGACTATATTTATTTGTTTGAGTTTGATCTTAGTCTGACTGCATTTTTCAGAAATAGAGTTTTTTTTTTTTTTTTTTAAAGCAAGTTTTTCTTTCTGTGTTTTTTTTTTTTTTTTTTATTATTATTGTTATAATTTGTAATTGTAGCACGTACGATATGCCATTAATAAAAGTTATGTGAGAACGGCTCAATTACTGTATGCCTTTATCAATATTGCCACTATTGTAGCTAGGTGGGCCCAGATGTACCTGTAGAAAGTGTCTAAGTTCCATCTGCCTATTTTTTGTACCAATACGAGTTGGACTCCCTGCATGACCAGTTCTGTTGTTCCACTGGCCCTGAAACTGTGGCCAGCAACATCCTCTGATAGTAAGGCTTGTTTGAGCTTGTTGATAAAATAGCGTTTCGTTACCTATGATCCATCGGCCCTGACGAATAATAGGTCCGGGAGGTTGATTTTTGAGGTCAGTCTATAAACTACGTATGCTTTCAGGGCCTCTATTGGGCAAAGTTCATCGTATGTTGGGTTAATAATGAGGGAAGTGCACAGGGCAGTATTGTGGTTTTTGGTGCGTGCCAATTGGATAGTGGCGAAGGAGTGTTGATTGACTTCCTCGAATCTTAGTGCTCTGAATGTTGGTACCTTGTTTTAATCATGCTGTGTTGTTGGAAGAAGTTCACCTAATCGTGCCAAACTGTAGAATGCTGTCGTTGATATTGCCCAGAATGCCATGTCATCCCATTCATTTAGGTTTAGATTGCTTCTCAGTGTTCGCAGGTTGTCCCGCGCTATGTGTGAATTTTGGTTAATTGGTCTGTGCACATGATTTTTGTCAATAGTTTTTAATAGCTCTGTTACTAGAGGATCATTGCGTGTCTCTGTCCATTCGAAGTTATGCATTTTATGATGGTGTTTTAGAGCTGATAAGTATGAAAGAAGGGTTGGAGGTGAGACCTTGTTATGCTTGTGTGTAATAAAGTTGATGAGGTTTTCTTTGGTGATGGGCCAAATCTCTACTTGTGAATTAATCCACTGATTTGTGTGTGCGATAGTTTCATATGTCCTTATTACAGATTTATATGTTTTGTTTGTTTTAGCCTCTGTACCCAATATTACAGCGGCTCATTGATTGAGTGTTTGAGATAGATTTGGTTTTGTGATTGTCAGTTTGTTTTGTCTGTCTATTTCGTTGTGAGTGTGACGAATTTTGTTGTGTTTATCTATTAATAAAGAGAAGGAATCGTCGATATAAGGTTAGTATATTTGTGTGGAATTATAGGCTGCAGATAATGTGAGATCGGATTTGTGCTCAAGAACTGTTTGTGGCTATTTCGTGACAGTAGATCTGCCTCTGAATTCGCTTTTCCTGGTATATGTTCCATCTTGACTGAAAAGTTTTTAAGTATCTGAGCTTGATATATCTCAGCAACTATTTCATTAATTGCAGAGTGTCTGCAAAAGAAGGAGTAGACTGCTTCTACATTTGCTTGGTGTCTGACCAGATAACAAATTGTTTTTGGAACCATATAGGGGAGAATGTAAGCATTGCAATGAGTATGGTCAGGAGCTCACACTCTTGTATGTTGTGCTGAGATAGGTCCATTTCTCTAGACCAGTTGAACGCAATAAAGTAAGATTTGAATGTTGCGTCTCCACCTAAATTGAATATGTCGGTAAAAAGGTTCTGTGTTGCTGGATTTAGCTATTGTTGATCTTTCATGAGGTGGACCCTGGGCCACTTCGGTAATATCATAGCCCACCATCTAATATCCAACTTCATGGGGCCAGTTAACCTTATGTAGGACTTGGGGCTAGATTGTGCTTAAAGCTTTAATGAACTGTTGTATAAATGGGCGCCCTTGTGGAAGAACTTGGCATACCCATATCAGTGACCCTGTAGCTCTTTTTTAAAACACTAGTGCTTGTCGTCCCATTGCCTTAACATATTAATTAGTTTAGACTTTTTGTTGTAAGAAATTCCAAGGAATGTGACGGAAGTATCCAGACCTTCAAGCTTTGATCGTTTGTGTAATACATTCAGAATATTGAGTATATGAAGGAACTGATTTAGCTCATTTTGTGCATTTGCCTTTGATATTATCAGAAAGTTGTTAACATAGTGAATTATCGACTTTATCCCTTGTTGTGTAGCGACTCATGTAAGAACATCTGCAAATCTATAGAATATGCCTCCTTAGGCTCGGTTCCCAAAGGCTAGAGCTTTATCGAAATATATTTGGCCACCGAGTGTAATTCCTTGAAGTACCTGGTCTATCAGATGTACTGGTAGAATTCTATAGGCATCTTTTATATCAATCTTTGACAGAGAACATCCTCGTCCATAGTACGTAATCTATCTGATGGCATGATTTATGTTCTTGTATTGTGTACCGAACTCAATTTTGTCTATGCTGTCATTTATACTTACTCCAAAAGGAGAAGACTGATGTGATATTACGTGATATACTTTAGGATTTGTGTCCTTTTTCTCTACTAAACTGCAGAAGTTTACTTGAAAGAGCTGGCATGGTGGCTGTTGTTCAGAAAAAGGGCCGCACATCCGCCCTTGTACTAGTTTATTCAAAATATAGCTTTCAAATGATGAAGGATCGATTTCTATTGATTTTAGATTTTCTTGGATAAGCCTAGTTCTTTGGCCTGTGAAGTTAAATCTAAACTCATTTCTTAGGCCTTCGCATAGATACATTATAAATGGTCGGTTGGGTGACTATCTGTAAGGTATGCAAACATCTCAATGTTAATTGGAGTAGATATATTGAATATGTTGGGGTTGAGCTGTTCCAGGATTTGATTCTCAGTAGTTGTTAGCAGCATGTTTTGTGGTAGAATAGCCGTGAGCGTGTAATCAACTGACTGAAGTGTTGGGGTCTCAGACATAGTAATTTTCTATGCTGCTTTATACTGCGCAGAGTATTTAAAACTCGGTACCATTTTGGGTTCTGCAAAGTTGAAACAGTTAGCAATGATATTATGGGTATATAGTAATCGGCTTGGTCTATTTATATAGCAGAGAAATATAGTTTATTTGTATATATTGATGAAGCAACAGGCAATACACTAGCTATGCTTAATTCTATTCTGAGGCGAGGTGATTCAGGCTTGTGTAAAAACTTTTTTTTTTTTTTTTTTTTTTATAACCCTATATATAAGCGTCCTTATTATTATTATTATTATTATTGTTGTTTCTCTCTTCTTCCCTCCATTTACATTATACTTATCGTTATTGCTATTGTTGACTGAAATGTACTATATGTTTATACATATGCAGATTGATCAATATGCATGTGATCGTTGTGGGTGTTGTGCATAATGCAGGCAGTTTATTGTTAAGTGTTTTTGTCTGCCTTGCCATTGTCAGGTAGGTCGCCTTTTTTCTGGCTATTTCTTTTAAAGCATCTTTGTTCGCTGTGGTTTGTCATTTTACAAACTAAACAAGCATGGACTTTTTCACATACTTTTTCGTCAGCGTAGCCATCATGCCACTCTGTGTCAAGACGTGTAGTCCGGCGCATGTTGTACTTGTGTTTCTTTGCCATAGTCACGTCAAAGTTTCTGCCCTTGACTTCGATTTCTCGGTCTAGAAGAGTTGAGTCTCGATTTGTGACTAATATTACTCTGTGATTTTCGTCATAGGACATTACGGCGTGGAAACTATGCCTAAGACATAACTTACTGATATGGTCTACATAGGCATTAAGTTTGTGCTTTCTGTTCTCATAAATGACAAGTACTGCATCTATGTACGACTTAAAGGCTAGTAGCCATTCTGAAATATCTGTGAATACCGTATGTCGGGAGTGCCTCTTGATCAAGATGGTGCCACCTTCTGTTGACTGCAGTGTAGGCTCATCTTCCACCTCCTTATGCTTAATAACAGGTTTTTGTATGTAAAGTCCTGTAGATTTACATATGAACCAAAGGCAATTGCTTTCTATAATTTGGGTGAAATATTGGGTTTGAAAGGGAAGATCTCAATCATCTTTTGGCCGTCTGACCAATTCATGACCCACCAGATTCGTATGCTTTTGGTTTTTGCTGCCTGGGTATTAGAGAACCTGTGAATATCGTGAATGACTTTGAATTTCCTATAATCGAAGGATGGGTATTTCTGTAATGTTGCTTTAAACAGACACAAGTCTGTAGATGGTGTAGCTGAGTGTGTGCTTGGTGGTGTCGCAGTGTCCTGGCCTTGAAGCATAATCTTGAATGCCCTCATAATGAGATCGTTTAGTATAGAAGTTGGAGAATACTTACCCATGGGTTGAGCTGTCTCTTTTCTTTTGACTGTCGGTAGAGTGCTGGCAGAATTTGTTGGCTTCTGTAGCTGCTGATGTGGTGTAGTATGCTTAGTTGGTGTCATGCTGCGGTGTAGTGCTGAAGTCTCGGTGTTGGCACTGGTTTGTGTTGCTTGGGCCAATATATTGTTGATGTTTGCCTGTAGTTGTTCATTTCACAGCCTCTGTTTGTTGAACTGGGAATCAATATACTGCTTAAAGGACCCGATAATTGATGTGGTTGATGAGCGGATCGACTCATCAATATATGCTTTTATCGAGGAATCGATATGAGCTTCTGGTCTTGGATTGTTCAACAACGTAGCCGATGCTGATGTGGTTGGGGCTGGTTGAAGAATTGTGCGCAGTTCCTTGTCGTTGTCACGTAAGTCTGGCTCCGTGTTGCTCATGACTTGGTTATAACAAATGGTAATATCCGAGTTGCAGATTGCCCCTCTTTTTTTTTTTTTTTGTTGTTTCCTTCTTTTTTTTTTTTTTTTATAACTGTAGATGTAGGCTTGAATGATTGAGTGGTTTTGATTGATTGAGTGGTTTGTCATTTATTTTGAGAAATTTGTTAGCCGAAGACTATTGTGTCGAAGTGGGAAAGAGTGTCGAAACAAATTTCTTTATTGACTGTTTATATATCGATCATGGTCGGTGGCTTGTTTAATTACGTATTTCTTGATTCATGCAGTTTAATTAATTGATTACTAATTAATTTGTTCTTTGATCCCGATCCCTGCTATTTGCCTCATGATTTGAGGGCACGGGTTGTAGCATGTGTCATGTAACCCCTGGCCAGTTCTACCTTTCTTTTCGATCCATTGACCCTTGTCAACATGCATTAATTATTCAAATAAAGAAATTACATTATTCAATAAAAAAATATATATTTAAAAATGATAGTGAAAATAATAATGAATTTCTTTAATTTCTTTGTCATTATCATTAAAATTCTTAATGTCTTGGTAAGTTTAAAGTGAAAAACGATTTGTGAGATCATTTAATGGTGGTCTTGGTTGAGCTGATGAGCTAGATTGGGTTAATAGTGTTGGAAAAGATCAGGGAAGACATGATAGTTTTTTTTTATAATATAAAAGGTAGCAGGTTGATTATTTGATACCTTATAAGAAGGCTTAAACAGTGCATGCAGCTTGGATTTTGATTTATAGGATGGTTTTTGAGCTAGTCATTGGGATAGTTACAATGATGATCTTTGGAATGGTTTCAACAATTATCTATGGGATGGTTCTAATGATAGTCTTTGGGATGGTTCTGACAATTCTTGTTCTGAGAATTAGTATAGTTAATAAATATAAAAAAAATAAAAAAACTCTATGAATAAATACAAATACTTTTATCATAATCATAATCTGCCTCAAAATTTATATAATTTGAGTATCTCTGGGAAAATAGCCAAACTCTTTATACGGAATATTGTCAAAATCTAGTGGAATTAGTATCAACGTATTCCAAAGCCTTTGTTTTTCATTTGGGGTGCAGTGGGCCCAAATTTTTTCTCTACTATGATGACCAGAAAATACTATACATTTATCTTCAGAGATATTTAAATCTTTGAGCCATTGAATCACAGTATGCCTTAATAAATAGTTGCAGATCTTATAGCCATTTTTAAGATCTATTCTAGTTAGATCTGCTATTTTTAACATCATAGTTTTCAATTTATTTGTTTCTATACAGAATTTTTTGAACCAGATACCCTTTGTTATATCTATAAGTAAATAAAAAAATTAATAATAAATAATATAACAAAACAAAACAAGAAACAAACACTTTAAACTCTTTGCCACCTGTGTTGTTTCTTAAAAAAAAATTCACAAGTATAAAAAAATATCAAATATACAATATTATCAATAAGTTTAAAGTGATTATTTACTTGATTAGAAGGAATAGAGATCCTTTGTGCTGAGCTTTTTTTATATTTATTATATTTCATATCAGGAAGTTTGAAAGATGTTAAATAACTAATAAAAAAGTGTTAACCTATATAGAGTTAGTTAAACTACACTTTTTATTAATAAAATTAGTATTAAATAACACTATATATATTAAACAACTTTAGTTATTTAACTGTGTATTATGTTAACAAACATGATATGCAGTTAAATAACTAAAGTTGTTTAATATATAAACTGTTATTTAATACTAATTTTATTAATAAAAGTATAGTAAGGTGTGGCGACTTAGTGTAGTGGTCTAGTCGTCACCCTCTCCAAGTGGCAGGTTTAGAGTTCAAATCCTACAGACGATGAATTTTGAAAAATAGCCTGTGCTATGGTTTACGGTTGTCAATTATCGGTTGGATCTAGAAATCTGTAATCTCGGTC